AAATAAATAAACAAAAAAATTGTTTAAAACATTTTTTTTTTCAATACTTTGTTTTTATGAGGTATTCTTATGAGTGCTTATGAGGTGCTTTCTAGATATTTATAGTAAACCTAGATTCCATAATTGCTATGAGGCTCATGGACCTGAAAACCACTATGACTGATGGACTGAGTTCTCATAGTAGATTCATCAATAAATATGGGCAAGAGAATAAAGTACTAATTTGGTGCTCACTAAATATTCATAGTAAACCTAGATTATATAATGCCTATTCGAGAAAAAAAATCAATATACAATAAAGTCCCGTTAACTAATACACCTAATTAGCACTTAATTCTCTTGTCCTTATTTATTGAGGAACGTACTATAAGAACTCAGTCCATCAGCCATAGTGATTTTCAGATCCATAAGCCTCATAGGCATTATGGAATCTAGGTTTACTATAAATATCTGGTAAGCAACTTATTAGCACAGTACATCAGTCATGATGGTTTTCAGGTCCATGAGCCCCATAGCAATTATGGAATCTCGGTTAAATATAAATATCTGATAAGCACCTAATCAGCACTTCATTCTCTTGCCATCATTTATTGAGAAACATACACTATAAAAACTCAGTACATCAGTCATGGTAGTTTTCGGGTCCATGAGCCCCATAGGCATTATAGAATATAATTTTACTGTGAATACCCATTGAGCACTTAATTAACACTTTATTTTGATTGTCTATGTATTAGTTTACGAGCATCTCAAGACTTTATTGCATATTGTTAATTATTTTTTCTCAAATCAGGTATCTCGATTTTTTTTCCGCTTACTCACGGTCGTTTTCATCTTAATTTCTTGCACTTTATTACCACGCTTAGTTAGAGCATTCGTCCTCGTTTTCAAAAGACTTGATTCTCAGATCTGTTGTTTAGCGAAATTGGAAGCTTTTGTTTATTAATTGAAAAAACTTACGATCCTCACCGTTTAGCATTTAATTAGCACCTAATTGTGTTTCCTTAACATTCATTACTTTATTATTATTTTCATTGCCTTGCTAGCATCACATAATGCTAGTAATGCAACTTTTTGAGTATTGAGTTGCGGTGTAACTTACAGAGCACCTAATTTTTGGCTTCGGTACCTAAAAAGTACCTAATTTTGGCATTTTCTAACTGCGATTTCCGTACTTTGCGTCGCCGGCATAACAGAGCTCTATTTTGAGGAGCAAGGCAGTTGTTATTGTAAAAACGGTATCGAACTTATTGAAGATCGCTGGGAAAAGTGTATAGACCTGCAAGCAGATCATGTTGAAAAATAAATATTTTTTTCACAAACTTTCATGTCTTTTCTTTGTTTGGTGGGGTACTTCTGCCACCACTCTCACTGAGCATTCACTACTTTTTACTATTACGATGAGGAGTCTAACTTTTTTGCCTCTAGCGCTACTCCGCCTTGCTAAACAGCTATTAAAATATAATACGTCCCAATTCGCATCGAATGAAATAAACTTTGAATCAGCAGGAAGCTGCACGACTGTAACGGGTTTCCATTAAAAATCTGAAAGCGAATGTGCTGCTCTCAATTCGTTATCGCCAGTCGAATTACTTTCGATTTCCTTCGGCTGACCCAAATGGTCGTTGTAATGGGCGGACCCACGGTTCTGACGTTATCTACAACGTGTTCTGGAAAACGATGGCTGAGTTAGCGACCCTGCGGTATTTATCAAGTCGGCCTTGGTTGGTGACTCAGTTCTCGGGGCTTTCAAAAGTGATCATGCGATGGGTATTTGTCTATTTTGAATTTCACTAGTTCAAACTTCCATTGTCTACCATATAAAATGATTTGAAAACCCTGAAACAACTATAAAAGAAGAATTGAAAATGAATAG